TACACTGTTGAAACTACATTCAAGTAGCATAAGCAAGCGGGATCTGGACAGCAATCACGTAGCATCTCCATCCCAGGTTCGCGTCCACATCAACACGATTTTATTCCAGCCGCACCCCACCTGTCCAAACACACATGTCAATCTTGCATCAATGTTCGAACACATCTCACTCTGCAACGCTCCAGTGGGCCCCACAAGGCCGTGACTGCAGAAACAACAACGAAAACATGTAATTCAAGAAACAAATTCAACACAGATAAGTTGAAAAAACATATCAACATATCCCACAAACACAAAACATATCCCACACACAATGCGAATCCACAGGTTCATAACGCCCACAATTGATTTATACTGTAGGTGTCGCAAACCAAGGAATGTGTGGCTGACTGCTAGGCTGAGGACACTCAAAGGCGGGATCACAGACACCAAGAATCCTTGCCTGATGGTGACAATCGTAGCAAGTCGGGTTCTGAAGGTGATCGTGTTGCCGAAGCACATGGTGGGATGATAAAGTGCCTTGAAAGCAACTTGCTGCATCCTGTTTGTAATTAATCACTCTGAAAAATGAACTTGCCTTTCCACTTCCGGCCCAGGTACGACAAGATGAAGGCGCAGGCTACAAAGTACTGGCTTGCGTCAGGTGCGGAACAATTTCTTCTTTGTGCGGCAACTGCTTTGGTTTTCAACCAGGTTGCTTTCACACATGGTTGTAACTCTACCTCTATTGAGTCCCAGGAGAAGTTTGCGAAGACAATGAAGAAAGGCGTTGTATTAATACCCATTTCTTTTTGACAATATCGCACAATGCCCTGTTCAGTCTACCCATTGCTAGCCTTGCTAGCCCTTGCACTGAGAAACCAAGGCCTAAGGGCTGAAGTCTCTCACAAAAGATTCACAAAAAAGACAGGGTCTACTGTTAACAAATAGAAATCGATAAGGAAAGAACAATTAGATTGTACTTCTCAGTTTATTGCACTTCATCCTTGGCCGTCACTGGAGTTATTTCCATGTCCAGGGCATATGGAAGCGAGGTTAATCCTTTGACTGCCAGAGGAGTGCCAAAGATGCAGGCTGTCGATATGTCATAGAAGATGCTCAAATTGATTCCTCAATCTCATTTCAAGAGCTTTAGCAGGCCATGCTTGCAAGTAGTGCTGTTCTCGCCAATGCTTGCAGGTCAGACTTGTGTATGACCGAACGCACTATCCGCGGCCTTGGAAAAACGCTCACTACTATCCACCAATGCAGCTTTTTTGCAGCCAAATACTTTTTTTGGTTGTCAGTTGTTGCGCAGCAAAGATCAAGTTTGCTTTAGTGACAGTGAGGTATGTGGATGAATTCTGGATGACGAATGATCAGCTGGTCAAGTTTCCTCCTAGTGGAGAACACAGCTTTACTGCAGACTCTTCTCTTTCCAACAGCCCTGTTCATGAAATTTTGCGTTCATCAAGCGCCTCAAAGGAGCAAAGCAACTCCTCGATTCCAAGGAGATCCACTTCAGTCTTATGTCTGCAGCCAGATGGCGATTTCAAAACATGCATCTTGACTGCAGTAGTGCTTCGACGAGTGTTTGTTTTAAAACGAATGAATCTCTCACGTGAGCTGAGAATGGATCAGAGCATCAAGAATATGGCCACACAGTTTGCTGGAGAGGATGCTGAAGAAATTGTGCAAATGCGGGACTTGCTCCTTGCTGGCAGACAGGACCAGTTCTGCCTGCTTAGCAAAAGCGAATTCTGCGAAAAGCCAGGTTTGCCAACACAAACTCCTACTTGCTCATAGGGACCTTCGTGGTGAGTGTCCTACACATGATCTTTGAGTACCTAGCGCTCAAGCATGATGTCCTCGGCCGAGTTTTTCTGCATGTACATGAGAGGGCAGGCTGTTTGAGGATGGCAACGAAATGGACCCCGCACTCATTTGCTGAGACAGGTGTTGTTTTGGCAGAAAACAGATGCCGAGACGTTGAAGCGATACATCTCACTGCGAGCAATCTTGGGAGAAATCTTTTGTTTCTTGGTTTGCAGATGTTAGATGATGTTAGCAGCGCACCAACAATCTCAGCTCAACACCTCATGGGCATGCATCACTACAAACTCAGGCAATGTGGTGCTTTGGATCTATTTGCCGCTCGTTTCCAATAGAAACGCAAGTATATAGGTGTACACTTTGAGAAGCATCCTTGTTGACCTGCAGTCGAACGCACAGAGGTACGACCAAGACACAGGCTGGCTTGTCCTGATATTGATGCTGGGGCAGATTGCAGTTGACTGCTGGAAGCTCACACGGGTCTTAGAGGCGGAAGTGATGTCGCCATGCAATCTTTGTATCAGCGATCTGCCTGAAGGATCTTGAACAACCACCTCAAGGATCAGTTCAGAATGTTGAGTGTGTGGAATGTGCTGGGCAGGTGCGATTGCAGAGAAGTGGACTCTTAATGTATCCGACCCTCAGAAGTCGTGTTCCGCACTCCAGCACAGACTCTTTTTCCGCATGCTAGCTCCTCAAGAATCAGAAGCCATCACTTCATGTTCTTTGAGTCCAAGACCTGCGGTCTGAGGATGACTATGACAAGATGGCGTTGCAGTATTTGTCTTATGCCTTGCACCTACTGCAGTGTCTTGCGTTGCCTTGAGTGCCAGCTTGTCACGTCTGCGACCTCTCTATGTTTGGCAGTACCTCTCGATGCTGTTGTGCAAAGTTGTGCTGAGATTCTGGTCCCAATTGTCCTGGTGTACGCCATGTACTCCCTGAAGTATGAATGCCACAAAGGTATCATTGCGAGACTTGGAACCAAGTGTTTGGTGAAAGACGAAACAAAGCGAGTGAAAGGACACCAACGAGTCTCGACGAAACGCAGGTTTCCTAAGAAGTTCCTTGCTAGTGTTTGAACGCAGTGCATTTTCTGACGGGCTCATGTCAAGGAAATAATGGCAGGACTTGACGGCTGTAGCATTTGTTTGAGGTATTTGCTACATGTGTCGGCATCCATGGTCTATGCACTTGGCTTTGCTTTAATGAATCTTGACTTCATAGCCCTGCAGAGGGGTGGGTTTGCCCTCCCTCTGACGCTTCAGATTATATTATATACATATATATATATACCTGCAACCCGAAATGACCACTTTTTTTTGGTCGTTTTGAAAACAACCACTTTTTTTGGTCGTTTCAAAAAAAACGGTCGTTTTATCTTGCAGTCATTTTATACATGAAAAACTTGGTCGTATACATTTTTATACGTTTTTATACGGTTTGCATACGGTTTGCATACGGCCTGTATACGGTCGTGGTTCGAAGAATATACGGTCGTTTCAACAAAATATGGTCGTGGTTCGAAAAACATATACAGTCGTTTCCAGAAATATATGGTCGTATACGATTTCACAAATCAACTGCTTGATATGCATTGTGCATGATGTAATTTTTGAACATCATCATAATTGACAAAAATACGGTCGTTTAAGAAAAGACCATGTTTTATGGTCGTTTTAAAAATATACGGTCGTTTGAAGAACAACCAAAAAACTTGGTCGTTTCAGGTTGTATATATATATATATATTTGAAGGACATCGAAGGAATCTAGAGTTTGTCTCGCCAAAGCTGTGGCCCAACAACAGTTGCTTTTCGCAATGCATTTGAGTTGGACGGCCATTGTGATGTCTTCTCTTGAGCCACCAGGACGCCACAACTCTTCATCAATTACCGCATGAAATCTGTAGCTTACCTGCCCTGGAAGCGGTTCGTGTACCGTTGCTTGGTAGAATTAGTGGAGCAAGCCTTGTGCAAGCAGATGCAAGCAGCAAATAGATGGAGAGGCCATGACGTGTTTCAAACCTTCCTAGTGCACCCCTTCTCAGTGACCGGTTCAAGCCATACAGCTCAGCCTTGTGATAACTCCCGAGTCATCCAAGGAGCTATTAACACCTTCATTGTAGCTTGGTCGATCTTGGCAGACTCTTGGCAGAGAACACTTGGGAAAACTCCTGTATCCAAGGATGATTTATTTTCCTTCATCATCAAAATGCCCACAATGCACCGCCGGATCCCAAGACGGGCAGCCTTCCACCCAGTGTTTTCGTTTAAACAGGCGTTTTGAATTGCCAACTCACATGCTATGAATTGGTCACCAATGTTACTTCGACATCTCTGCTTAGAAGCGACCTCCTGACCACCCTGGTTCTGGTGAGGAATGTCTTGCTTCCGCGATGACATTGTCTTTCTCATCTACCTCTACCAAAGACACATATATCCCGTGGACAAAGCTCGCAACTCGCTTTCTATGATTTTGTATGATATTTTTGTGTTCTGGATTCTGGTGAGATCGTTCCTGGTCGAAAGCTTTTCAGGAATATTTGATGAAGACTTTGTTGACTCCGCAGAGGGCACCGCGGAGGAGAGATTGAACAACAACAGGGATAGATCACAATAGATCGCATGGTTCAACTTTCCCTTTTTTTCTGAGGAGTCAAAGAAAGATCAATAGAGCAGGGATTCAAAGATCAATCAAAGTCATGCTCTTCATCCTCATCCCGGACACCTGAGACAGTCGTAGGCCTAGTCGTAGGCAAGCTCCCAAGCTCAAGCGAGCGGATTTCCGGCGGAGCCGGCGGAGCATTTCGGTTTCCAAGACGAGACCTGAGTTTGTTAAAGACACCGTGCGGCAGTGTTTGACAACATGACACACTGCTCAAGAAAAGGACTGTTGTTCCTTAGTGTTCTCAATCAAAATTGTAGTCGCTACATAGTCCAACCATCACATGCTCAGTGTTTCTCAGTGTCTTCACCAGACTCACAAGAGTTGGTGGCCTATGCAGCTAGGCCCTTAATCTGCCGCAGATCTCAGATTTGGTCAGTGCATCGAAAGTAAGCTTGAAAGATTTTAAAGACGGGAAGAGAATTGAAGGACGCAACTACACTATGTAAGCACGACAATCTGGTAGGAGACAAAACTTGCATGCCAAAGACTTGGCAAACAGACTTAGCTTTCGTACCGCAGGAGCTGGAAGGAGTACTTACATTGTTGAGGGAGCGCGAGGAGGCACCAAAAGACCTCGAGCTTCAATCTGTGTCGAGTGGAAACCTTCGAAATGGCCTTTGCTGAGGAATTGCAACTCCTTCGCAGAGAGATCAACGGCTTGCGGACACAGAAGGTGAGAGCCAGTGAGAGGGACGTTGAGAGATCAACTTTTGTGAACACGTTGAGACTTGATGCCAGTGATGTATTTGTTGACCTGTGACGCACTTGACATCAGGAGCGAGACAGCTCGGCTGAACTTCATGAAGCTCTGAGGGTACGGACCCACAGACTTGCGCAGATCTACAGTCGAATCGGAGCAGCAGGTAGAAAGAAGTAGAATGAAGTAGAATAATCAGAAACGAGCATATTTCTTTCCACGTAGACATGTAGATGGCATGATGCAAGTGTCGCACGAGAGCAGTCTCTGCGTGTTCTGAGATGGACCAGGTGAGAAAAGTGAACTCCAAATTGCAGCTGTGTACTTTGGCAAACAGGTACATTGAAGGCACTTCCACACTTATGGACTTATGGACACACAAAGAACCAGCCCATACTGCCCTTGCCCTTTGCAAAGGGCCATTTAGACCTGGATAGCAGTAGCCCAACTACAGTGTACTACAGTGTGTGTACAGTTCTTGAATGAATATTCCAACTACATGCTTGAGGGGTGCTTTGCTTTGCTTTTTTCAATGTTATCCAAAACAACTCAAGGGCCTTTGATTTGGTGGACATACTCCAGGACCTGGCACTTCGTCACCGTCAATCCCTCCTGCGGCTGCAGGCAGCGCCTTGTCTCATGATGTGCACAAGGAACCTAATTGCGATGACCTCCAACCTAATAGCAAAAGGAATTATGGCCAGCATTTCTTCTTGGCCTTTTCTCTGAAGACACGGTCACTGAAGCTGAAGCCAACAAAGACGCTTCACATTTTGACTCAGCTTGTGGCAGGATGCTGCTAGATCTGATAGTGCAGAGGAGTGTGCAAGTGTTGCAGAGGTGGCAATCCAGCTTCAGAACATGTCTCAGGGGAACTAAGGGGTGCAGCTCTGATTTGATGAATTCTATCTTTCCTGCTGTGCTACTTCACAGGTGGTGCAATTGAAAGCTTCTTTAATGACTTCCGAGCAATCACTGCTGGAGTTGGAAGAGGAGCTCAAGTCTGACTGCTGTGTTGTTTTCGGGTCAAATTGTTTAAGATGGGATAGGACTGTCTGCAAATGGAGGCCATCCAGTTTTGTGTTACTTCTTGCTGCTGGCCTTTGAGATTTTCAAGCAGCGCGTAGGCAACCCGCAATCACCTTGATGGAGTTGTGGAGGAGGTGCAACCGTATTGAGCTTTGCAAGTGCTACTGCTCTTTGTGTTGTTGACGATGGATGTCCATTTGTCTTTGCTTCGATGCCTCCTTACACATTTGCTTCGATGCCTCCTTACACATTCATTATAAAGTTATATATATATATACAGTAATATACCGTACATGTATTTTTTTACAACGCTAATTGAGGTGTTGACCTTTACACACGTTTTCCCCAAAGCACTGGCATGTCATCTCATTGCCGACGTTGAAAGCTTTGGAGGTTGAGGCCAGCACCCAACAGTGCCATCTTCGCTACCAGGATGTTCGGGGCTCGGTCTTTCCAATCCTTCCGAAGCATACTGCGACTGCGCAGGAAGGCCGCTATCGCTTGCACTCCCTACAACGACTGCAGACAGAGATAGAGGCTGGTCAAAGATTGTGTTATTTTTTTCAAGTTTTGTGAACCTTGCTTGAAGCTGCACAAGCCCTTTTGCCTTTGCGCAGGTTCAATGTGCCAGCCTGAAGCAAACACCCCTCATAAATGCCACATCCAGTGCAGAGGAGGCGTTGCAAGCACTACAACACCTAGAGTCTGAGCAAGAGCTGAAAGACCAAGAGGAAGCCAGGCTCCGCTCTGAGCTGAAACAGAAACGTCAGGAAATGTCCAAGTCTGACTGTCAGCGGGGAGACCTCTTGGCCACGGTTGCTCGTGGAGTTTCGGAACTTGCTGCAGAAATCGCAGCTCAAAAGTCACGCTCGGAAACGGAGCTTCACTCGGCCAAGAAGAAATTGGACCTTCTGAAAGGGAATGCAAAAGCCAAAGCCATGGAGCTTCAGGCTGTGAATGACAAAATTCACCAATCTCGACTAGCTACAGACGCCGAGTGTAAGCAGCTCATGCAACAAACGAAGGACTGCCTTGCAAAAATATCGACTGAAAGACACCAGAGAGAGAAAGAAATGCAAGAAGACCTGCTGGAGCTTGGCCGGCGAATAGAAGCGACTTCGCATCCAGATGAAAGGGCCTTAGAAGCCATGAAAACCCGAGCACATGAACAATCCAGAGAAGAGCACCGTTCAGCCTTGCATCGTTTGCGCCTTGAGCTCCGACAGCTACGATCGAAAGAGGCATTGGAAAATGCAAAGTCTCCGAATTGTCTAGCTTCTGTGGATTCCTTGAAAGACTTGGCAAAGACATTGGCATCGAAATGTGAGCAGTCTTGGCAGACTCTCAGCGATGAGAAGCAGAAAGCCGCATTAGCCCAGGCCATGAAGCGATGAAGAAGGACTTGTCGAAAGGAGCTGGACCTTTTAGCCGCGCCAAGATGGAGAATGTCTAAAAAGAAGAGAAGGCCGCCAAGGGTGGAGGCCATCGCTAGTAGGTTGGAGCCATTGCTAGAAAAAGGGGCCGCCCCCGTACCGGCCTACTAGGCGGAGTCGCCAAGGCTGCCTGCGACGAAAATGGCAAGGCTCTTGACCCTTCACATCCTTCATTCGTGATCACCGAAGGGGAGAGCCACCCGCTTCGTGCTCCAAAGATGCATCCAGATCCATCGACCAAGGCCTTTTCATCGAAGCCACTTCTCCATCCAAGAACTTCCATTACCTTCCTACTCTGAGTTTGACACAGTCACTTATGTCATCTTATGTCTGTATATGCCCAAGATTTGCCTTCACCGATCTTCAGGGGCGAGCCATGCTCGCTTCTCAGACAAGAGGCCACGTGGCCTGGAAGATTCAACATCGCCTGAGCGGCTGACGCAAAAGAGCCATCAATAGCTACTATATAGTAGCGATGCCCTTGTTACTAGTAGCGATGCACTTGTTAAATCAGGGCTCTGCAACAAGTTGCCGAATTCATCCATGTTTGCTGCAGCACGTAGAGACGGAGAGTGTTTGTTGTGGCAGAATTTTCAATTTGGCTCAGAACCCCTGGCATGTTTTGTAGATCAATGTTCTGGTTTGCATTTCAGATGAGAAAGTTGTTCGTTCGAAAAACTGTAAAAACATATTGTAAGTATTGAAGACCATGAACAGTGCTACTGAGATGGCCGCAGCACTAAAACAGTACTGTATTGCATTTCTTATCACCACATGCAGAGCGTGTTGTGCGCTGCATGGAATAGATCTTGCCTGAACTTCTCTGGCCGCTTCCCAAGTAGACACATCACGCCGCCTTGTGAATCTGAGAACGTGATCTTAGGAAGATATGCCTCTTTCCACGTCGAGCCGCTCTCGGAAGTCAAGGGGCAAACCTCACTGTGTGCTTTTGATTGATAAGAACCAACGATATTCAACTATGCCACATGCAGGTTAAAATGCTATCATGTTCAAGCCATTCCAAAACGGTTCTCAACAGAATAACCAAAAAGCTACACAGCGGACACCGCTTCACCTGAGGACAGGACTCTTTCCAGGTTCAGGAGCTCTCCGCTCCCAATCACAAGGCATGGTTGGATCACTTGGAATGGTGTGCACCGTGTGCACCCTTGAAGCCCAGAAAGACGGCCTTAAAAAGATGATCATAGATGGCAGAGGGGCAAACCACGTCCAACATTGTTCGAATCTTTAACTTTTCTTCCGGGAAGCCTCTCCTTTGGATGTTTGCGCTTGGAAGGAATATGGCTCATGTCCAGAGTTTTCAACAGTGCAACTTCTTTGCTGTGGAATAGTGTCTGGAACTTCCTGACAGATTTGATCAGGCAACCTCTCAAAGCTTTTCTTTGCATCAACCAGTCCAAGACTCAGAAGGAGCTTCACTTGACTTCTAATACCATGTAAAAACCTTGTTTGCCTTATCGCGATTCTGGACATCGTAGTCAACTCCGCCTTATCGTCATTTGAGGTGAGACTATGTATTCTGGTCGACAGCTAATGCAGGAGCCAAAACTGCATTGCTGCATTGCTTGTTTAGTTGCTCAGATTCTCAAAAGTTGGCAGGAAGACCAAAATGAAAATCTCGGTGAGGTGAATCTTGTGGCAAGTTTTGCACACCACTTGCGGTGAGTTTGACGCATGTGAAACCGCTGACACTCAGATTGTTAACATTGGTCAACGGAAGACCAAGCCACTGCCTCATATCCTGTCGTGGAGTAACAGTTGAACATGTGATTCTTGCAACTCATTAGTTAGTTATTTCATTATTGATTAATTATCCACCTAAACTTTTTGGTTGTAATGATTGTAATGCGCATTCTGGTGATTCTTGGCTGAATATTTTTGCCGTGCGATCACGGGCGATGACGATGAGGTACATGCCCTTCCGCTATTCCAAAGCCCCATTGCCTGGGAGAGGTGCCTGCAGGCGCTGTCAGTGTGAGTAGTAATGCCCTTGTTGCTAGTAGCTTCTTTTTACTAGTTGTAAGGCCAGGAGCTACTGGTAGCGTCCTTGCTCCTAGTAGCGAGGCCCTTGGTTACTAGTAGCTTATAGTAGCTTCTTGTTACTAGTAGCGATGGCCTCCAACCACTTGCGATGACATCCACCTAAAAAGATCCTTGCTACTAGAAATTTGAGGCGCGAAAAAAGTGACAATTGGTGTTGGCAAACGGCGAACGGAGGTATGCGCAAGAATACGGCATCAAGCCAGTTGGAGATCACCTGCGCTTCACTGAATGGCAGAATCTCAAGGCGCAAGTCCAAGAAGTTTGTATACATATTTCCCAGGATCAATCACAGCATTGCCGAGTCCAAGAAGGAGACACGAGACCTTGAATCCACAAGTGAAAGCAAGCAAATCTGCAAAGTCCGTTGGCATTGCTTCTTTTTCCCGAATGCGTAGCGAAGGGTTCTCGTTTAACTCTGGGGGTCTGGGGGTAGAGTCTTGTTCGCGACCCGTTGCTTCTATGTTCGCAACCGTCCGCAACCGTTCGCAACCGTTCGCAACCGTTCGCAACCGTTCGCAACCGTTCGCAACCCTTCGCAACCGTTCGCAACCGTTCGCAGTAGGACGCTAAGGCGCTGCCATTGGGGGAAGCTTTTGTAAGTGACTTTTCATGGATGTGTCACGTGTCAGTTTGCGACGCTATTCCATTGTGATTTGCATGAAAATGACATGTCGCGCAAGAAGCGTGATGCATTTCGCTGCACAGGCGCAGTGGTTTGAGAGATCCGCAGTTTACTGCGCAGTTCCATTGGGATTAGCGTTTGGAGAGTCGTGTTTTTGGGGTGTTGGATGTGGCCGTGCCATTGGGATTTGCGTTTCAGGGTGTGGCATCGAAGCTCTGTTTTCGTGACAAGTCTCAGCTGAAATGGCGACTTTGGTGGATGGGAGTGTGCTCAGAACGGGTCGAAATCATTCTAAACGTGTGGTGTGGTGCAAATTTTGTTGAAGCTCACGTGAGATGATCTTCTCACTTTTCGTGGCAGGCACAGTACTTTGTGCTGATTTTGAGGTGTGGAAGTGCGACTCTCGTGGCAGGCGCAGGAAATCGTGAGGTTGCGAGGTGTGACGGAGGTGACATTTCGTGGCAGGCGCAGTACTTTGTGCGCGTTAAACGTGTGGATGCGGAAAGATTCGTGGCAGGCGCAGGGAATCGTGAGGTCGTGAGTTGTGGTAGAGGTGAATGTCGCTGTCACATTGGGACTGGCGTGTGAGGGGGTATTGTTTGGAGGGGCTGGACTCGCGAAACTGCTTGGCAGGGCTGCGTGATGTGTGTGCTCCGATGGGTGTTTCCGCTTGACTTTTGGAGGAAGTCTCGTACGAAATCCTCGTTTTGCAGACTTTGACACGTGAGTTTTGGAGGAAGTCTCATACGAAACGCTCGTTTTGGAGACTTGACACGTGACTTTTGGAGGAAGTCTCGTACGAAACGCTCGTTTTGGAGACTTGACGTGTGACTTTTGGAGGAAGTCTCGTACGAAGCGCTCGTTTTGGAGACTTGACGCGTGACTTTTGGAGAAAGTCTCGAACGAAACGCTCGTCTTGCGCAGCCTCGAAGCGTGACTTTTGGAGGACGTCTCGTACCAAACGCTCGCAGGAGTGCTTCTAGTGTGCCACAAGAGTGTCCCACAAGAGTGGTCCTACAAGAGTGTCCCAGAAGAGTGTCCCACAAGAGTGTCCTATAAGAGTGTCCCACAAGAGTGTCCTACAAGAGTGTCCCATAAGAGTTTCCTACAAGAGTGTCCCACAAGAGTGTCCCACAAGAATGTCCCACAAGAGTGTCCCACAAGAGTGTCCCACAAGAGTGTCCCACAAGAGCGTCCCACAAGAGTGTCCTACAAGTGTGTCCTACAAGAGTGTCCCACAAGAGTGTCCCACAAGAGTGTCCTATAAGAGTGTCCCACAAGAGTGTCCTACAAGAGTGTCCCACAAGAGTTTCCTACAAGAGTGTCCAACAAGAGTGTCCCACAAGAGTGTCCCACAAGAGTTTCCTACAAGAGTGTCACACCAGAGTGTCCCACAAGAGTGTCCCACAAAATTGTCCCACAAGAGTGTCCTACAAGAATGTCCTACAAGAGTGTCCCACAAGAGTGCCCCACAAGAGTGTCCTGCAAGAGTGTCTCACAAGAGTGTCCCACAAGAATGTCCGACAAGAGTGTCCCATAAGAGTGACCCACAAGAGTGTCCTATAAGAGTGTCCCACAAGAATGTCCGGCAAGAGTGTCCTACAAGAGTGTCCCATGTCCCACAAGAGTTTCCTACAAGACTGTCACAAGAGTGTCCCACAAGAGTGTCCTACAAGAGTATCCCACAAGAGTGTCCTACAAGAGTGTCCCACAAGAGTTTCCTACAAGAGTGTCACACAAGAGTGTCCCACAAGAGTGTCCTACAAGAGTATCCCACAAGAGTATCCCACAAGAGTGTCCCACAAGAGTGTCCTACAAGAGTGTCCCACAAGAGTGTCCCACAAGAGTATCCCACAAGAGTTTCCTACAAGAGTGTCCCACAAGTGCCACAAGGAGTGTCCTACAAGAGTGTCGTGTAAGAGTGACCCACAAGAGTGTCC